CACTGGACCAAGACAGCTTTCTGGAGCAGCAATGCGGGTCTCGAACCGGGGACATGAATGCAGCCTATTATAGACTGTACTGACCTGATCTAACATACTATCTTCTTGAGGTTATCTTGAGATGATTTCGGGGCTTAGCGTTCCCGCGGCCCGGTCCTCGATCAGGCCTTCTTTTTGTTACACATCCCCCCCCGGAAGCCGCCCGTAGCAGCTGTCTAACTCCCAGGTACCTATTTACTGCTAGGTAAACAGGGACATCAAAGGGAAGGAAACTGCACATTTGATTCCACCTCCGTCGCGGAACGAACCCGGAACCTTGGGACTACGGATCCCGAGCCCTGTCCACTCAGCCATCAGGGCCCCTAGACAAGGTCTAACATAACAAATGGTTTAGTTCTAGAGCGAAGTAATATTTAATACCCCAGCCCCGAGGGGCACGAGGTTCAGCCCCGAGAGGCGCGAGGTTCAGCCCCGAGGGCGCGAGGTTCAGCCCCGGGGGCGCGAGGTTCAGCCCCGAGGGCGCGAGGTTCAGCCCCGGGGGCGCGAGGTTCAGCCCCGAGGGGCACGAGGTTCAGCCCCGAGAGGCGCGAGGTTCAGCCCCGAGGGCGCGAGGTTCAGCCCCGGGGGCGCGAGGTTCAGCCCCGAGGGCGCGAGGTTCAGCCCCGAGGGCGCGAGGTTCAGCCCCGAGGGCGCGAGGTTCAGCCCCGGGGGCGCGAGGTTCAGCCCCGAGGGCGCGAGGTTCAGCCCCGAGGGCGCGAGGTTCAGCCCCGAGGGCGCGAGGTTCAGCCCCGAGGGCGCGAGGTTCAGCCCCGAGGGCGCGAGGTTCAGCCAAGGGGACCCGTAGATAATGTGTGGCAGCAGTGCTGGCGATGCTCTCCTGCCCCTCCGGTGGTAACCTTCCTCCTCCCCTGCCTTCCCCTGCCCTCCCACTGCCCTCCCCTGCCCTCCCCTAGTGATGTGAGTAAGAGCTGTAATATTAGGGGAGAGGGGGAAGCTGTGGAGCGCCTGGACTTGTCCCCCTCCTGGTCTCTGGTAGCTGTGGTTCCCCTCCACCATTACTGCCGCCACAGTGAAGCAACACAGCCTATCATAACGTCACCACCATGACCACGATACACACACCAACGATAACCAACCACCATCACCACGATAACCAACCACCATCTCCACGATAACCAACCACCATCACCACGATAACCAACCACCATCACCTCGCTAACCAACCACAATCACCACGATAACCAACCACCATCACCACGGTAACCAACCACCATCACCACGATAACCAACCACCATCACCACGACACAATAGCTACCACTACCACCACACAGTCGGCCAGCACACGCAGGTCGTTGAACAGTTGCTATCATATTTACCACCACACTCACCACCATCCTCCTCATCACCACAATTGTGACCACTACACTCACCACCATCCTCCTCATCACCACAATTGTGACCACCACACTCACCACCATCCTCCTCATCACCACAATTGTGACCACCACACTCACCACCATCCTCCTAATCACCACAATCTCCACCAATCCTTCATTACATTTGAATTAATTTCCTTAAAAAAAAAATCCGGTAATCTGTTTTTATTCTAAGATTCACTAACAGAATCTTCCCGAAACTAAGAACAGACTTTACCTCACAAAATATGTAATATGGTTTTCCAGAAACAAATTAGATGGATGAGTTAAGTTCGCCTTTGTGTACAGAAAAATATACATTATTGAAATCACTGGATCATTTATATACAATCTACCTGTGATATAATTTTGCACCTTTTTGCAAAGTCTGATTTAAACATCGATTAACAGTGAGATAATTTGGGTAGAAATCATACAAATCCTAATGACCTTGAAGTTGTATATATAGGCTAAGAATTTTTAAAGAAATTATGGAAAAATATATTTTTTGAAATAATTAACAAAAGCCTCCAGATATAATATCGTCATCACAGAATTCAATTTATGGAGAGGATTCAATTTCTTTATGGAGAGGATTTATTCAATTTACAGGATAAGCCAAACAGGAAAAGCTGAAGCAGAGAATTTCTGAGAATTCATTCACGACTGCTTCCACAAGCAAGGTGTCATTAAACCTACCTATAGACTATCAGTATTCTCAACACACACGTGTCCTTTGTCTCCTCTACACACACACACACACACACACACACACACACACACACACACACACACACACACACACACACACACACACACACACACACAGCTTCACCATGTATCCACACATTTATATATCTTGACCCCCCTCTCTTTCGCCTCCACAGCTGAAGGCCTTCTACGTCGACCTGCTGGTTCCCCTCGAGACCAACCTAGACAAGGACACCAAGGTGCTGCAGGTGAGACAAAATAGGAGAGAGAGAGAGAGAGAGAGAGAGAGAGAGAGAGAGAGAGAGAGAGAGAGAGAGAGAGAGAGAGAGAGAGAGAGAGAGAGAGAGAGAGAGAGAGAAATAGAGAGATTAGAGTGATTGCTAATGACCATAAACCATATCAGATTTTTTTCTTTCAGTTTTCCTTTAGTTCTGCACCATTAAATTAACTATTTTGCCTTTTATCTACTTTTTATCACAAGATATCAATCCGTAACTTAATCCATCAATTAGCCAGCACGGTAGCCAGCCAATTAGCCAATCGCTCGACAAATTAGCCAATCAGGTGACAATGAAACCCATTCCACACAGAAATCACAATAATGTAATGCATCAAATGAACAAATCCACAAGGCCACCACGATTGACCATATCGTAGCTCAGTCGATTAAGGCAGCGTCTGGGATGCTCTCGGACGCAAGTTCGAATCCTCGTCACGGCCCTTGTGGATTTGTTCGTTTAATGAAACCCATCATTCATGTCGGCAGAGCGAGCAGAAGAAGTTCCTGTCATCACACAAGCACCAGCTGGAGACCTACACCAAGGCCGCCTCCCAGGTCAAGAAACACAAGAAGAAGAACCGAGCCACTAAAGGATCCATGGACAAGGAGATAAAGGTAAGAACACACGGAGAGAAAGAGACGGAGAGAACAAGAGAGAGAATTATGTCTCTCACGGAGAGAATTATCATCTAGCAACAAATTTCTAGCATATTCTTCAAACTCATTCGTTTTGTGAACAATATCCTAATTTTGGTAAATGTTATATATATATATATATATATATATATATATATATATATATATATATATATATATATATATATATATATATATATATATATATATATATATGTCGTACCTAGTAGCCAGAACGCACTTCTCGGCCAACTATGCAAGGCCCGATTTGCCTAATAAGCCAAGTTTTCCTGAATTAACATATTTCATCTAATTTTTTTCTTATGAAATGATAAAGCTACCCATTTTATTATGTATGAGGTCAATTTTTTTTTATTGGAGTTAAAATTAACGTAGATATATGACCGAACCTAACCAACCCTACCTAACCTAACCTAACCTATCTTTATAGGTTAGGTTAGGTTAGGTAGCAGAAAAAGTTAGGTTAGGTTAGGTTAGGTAGGTTAGGTAGTCGAAAAACAATTAATTCATGAAAACTTGTCTTATTAGGCAAATCAGGCCTTGCATAGTAGGCTGAGAAGTGCGTTCTGGCTACTAGGTACGACATATATATATATATATGTCGTACCTAATAGCCAGAACGCACTTCTCAGCCTACTATTCAAGGCCCGATTTGCCTAATAAAACTCCAATAACTCCAATAAAAAAAAAATGACCTCATACATAGAGAAAAGGGTTGCTTTATCATTTCATAAGAAAAAAATTATAGTAAATATATTAATTCAGGAAAACTTGGCTTATTAGGCAAATCGGGCCTTGAATAGTAGGCTGAGAAGTGAGTTCTGGCTACTAGGTACGACATATATATATATATATATATATATATATATATATATATATATATATATATATATATATATATATATATATATATATATATATATATATATGGCCACTCGTTTGGTAGTAGATGCATATACACAACATCAATGTTACGATGTTTTAATTTTTTTTACAAAAAACATCGCATTTTTAACGCATTGGTCGATTACGTAAAAAATATGACGTGTTAGGTGAGAGAACGGGTTGATCCCGAGTGGTTTGGATTCGGGAGGTACCTAGATGAGGGGGGGAGGGGGAGACCTTTGACAAGCCGCCGGCTTTGTAGGCGGTAGTGAATCCCATACCCATCCTGTAGGCGGTAGTGAAAGGTGATACAGAGGCACATAATGGGCTCCGGGAATGAACTTTGAATATGAGGGGGGATATGTAGTCAGGTGGAGGACCAGCGGGCCATCGGGAAGCAGAGTCAAACTTTCTGCTTCAATGTCATCAATTTAACGTCTGAAAGCATTTCGATTCCCACGTACATAAATATATCAATATATAAATGCGTTAGTAACATTAGCTTTAGTAACATAACAAAACTAAAAAGTTTGGATCAGTAGCCTATTCAATTTCAGTTTCCATTGTCACGCTCTGTGAAAACTGGAAGTGAAAAAAAAAGGGTGATCCGAACCTTTTATTGAAGATCATGTTACTAACGCCTTTTAATTTATATAAATGTGTGTGGGTGGGTGGGGGGGGGGGGGGAATGGCAGTTAGCCACACTGAAGTTGCTCTTGCACCAATAGCCTAACGGGAGTACTAGGCTACAGTCCGTAATCTTATTCATCAATATTATCATAGCTGGTATTATTATTATTATTATTATTATTATTATTATTATTATTATTATTATTATTATTATTATTATTATTATTATTGTTGTTATTTTAAGTGTTAGAAGTACTGGTGGTAATAATAGTCATAGCAGATAGAGCTGGCAATTTTTTTTTTTTTTTTTGGCACTCATTGGTTTTGGCTGCGCGCGCTTGGAGGAGCTAAAGTGGTCGGGCATTGACGTATTCCAGTGAAAAGCACTTGAAGGGGCTACTAATGTCACTGTACCTGTGAAGTACAGACAAAAGCACTTGGAGAGCTGGGAACCCGGGAGGGGGAGTGTGTTAAGGGTGTCGTACGTTCAAAAAGAGTGTGTTAAGGGTGTCGGACGTTCAAGAAGAGTGTGTTAAGGGTGTCGGACGTTCAAGAAGAGTGTGTTAAGGGTGTCGGACGTTCAAGAAGAGTGTGTTAAGGGTGTCGAACGTTCAAGAAGAGTGTGTTAAGGGTGTCGAACGTTCAAGAAGAGTGTGTTAAGGGTGTCGGACGTTCAAGAAGAGTGTGTTAAGGGTGTCGAACGTTCAAGAAGAGTGTGTTAAGGGTGTCGAACGTTCAAGAAGAGTGTGTTAAGGGTGTCGGACGTTCAAGAAGAGTGTGTTAAGGGTGTCGGTCGTTCAAGAAGAGTGTGTTAAGGGTGTCGGTCGTTTAAGAAGAGTGTGTTAATGGTGTCGAACGCTCAAGAAGAGTGCGTCAAGTGTATGAGACGGTTGTGCTCGACGAATATGTTAAGCGTATGTGAGGAGGAACCTTGGAGGGCCTTGAGAGAGGGGTCTTGGAGGATGAGAGAATTGGGTCGGCCTTATTGGCTCTTTCATCCCCCTTTCTGTAACCTCTTCCCATCACTCCCTTCCCCTTTAATCCTCCCCCTCTCCTCCGCTTTACCCCTCCACCCCTACCCTTCACCTAACACCTCCCCTCCCTCCATTCAGGCAACATCTTTTCGACAGTGTTGACTGAGATGGTGGTGGTGGGGGTGCTGAGGGGATGGTGGGGGTGCTGAGGTGGTTGTAAGGGGGCTGAGGTGGGGGTATTGAGACGATGGTTTTCTAATACTCACAAAACTGACAAAAATTGCCCAATCAGGATACTCACCACGTGCTAATTCCCGATGATTCAGATATACTAGTACGCAGACTTTAGGTTCAGCGATCCACTGGCTGGAAACCACGGTTCTTGGGGGTTCCAAAGGATTCCAGAAGGTTCTAAGGGTTCAAGAGGATTTCAGAAAATTTTAGGGATTCCAGAAGATTCTAAGAGATTCCAGAAACTAGGGACTTACTTTTACTCAGAAGCCTACAAGGAATGGAGCCTCCAGAAGCTCGATTTGTGTGACCTTTCTCTTCTCGAAAATTCACGCTTGATATTTTTTGAAGGATGGGGCGACCCAGTACCTGACCTTGGCCTCTAAGAAGGGTGCGGAGGGTATTTGAAGGAAGCAACTCATAGAATATTCGATACAGCATCGTTCTTGTGCCAGGTAAGTCCACTACGGGCTCACCATAGCCTGTGCTACTTGCCCCGCTCCTATGCCAGGTAAGTTACGGGCTCACCATAGCCCGTGCTACTTATAACTTGTTCCGAGTAGCTGAATCTATAACAACAACAACAACAACAACAACATAGACTATTCAGCACTTGGAAGGGATATGAGGATTGGGTGAAGGAACGCCGCCCAACCACTTGGACATCGGGGATCGAACACCGACCCTGCACTCAACCAACCATTCCAAGTGATTGGGCAACATGAAGGCCAACATACTCAATAGATCAACAGAATTCATGCCGTGTTTAAGTAAACAAAATAAAAAAATGTATTATAATCAATTGTTTTCGTGGAGAGCATGTTATGAGCCAGAGTGAGTGGGTGTCGAACCCACGAAGGAATCCATTAACAAATTACTCAATATTCTTGATCAAGAGCAAGGAGGGGGAGCACCGGAGAGTTAAGACGGTGGCTGAAGAAGGCAGGGAGAGCAAACAACATGACTCAAGTCTTTTATGTAAATTAGCAGAGGAATCCATAGTAAGTGGAACACCAGCGGCGGCTTCCCTTCCTGCCTCCCCCACCACCCAACCTGCCCCCACTCTCACTCTCACTCTCCTTCCTCGAATTATCCCCCTCAGTTTCACCTCTATCACCTCCCTGAGGTTCCCTCTCTCTCTCTGCCTCCCTCTCTGTGGTTCCTTCTCCCTTCCTGCCTCTCTGAGGTTCCTTCTCCCTTCCTGCCTCTCTCTGTGGTTCCTTCGCCCTCCCTGCCTCCCTCTCTGTGGTTCCTTCTCCCTCCCTGCCTCTCTCTCTGAGGTTACTTCCCTCCCTCAGTCTCTTTTTTATTTATCTTGGCTAATATCACTTTTCTACTGTTGTTCCTCCTTCTGCCTTGCTTGTCTTCCTACACTCCTTCCTTACTCCTCCTTTTCCTTCATCTCACTCCTCCTCTCCCTTCCTCTCCCGCCTCCCCTTGCTCTCTCTCTACCCTTAAGGGCATACATAACAAATTGAATCGGCATGTAATTACAGGAATTCCTTACAGATATTTTCTTCGTGAGGGGTCGGCCCAAGAGGCAGGCAAATGTAGGTCTTAGAGCCTGTGTTGTTTAGCTTTGTATTGTAAATTTATGGTAAAGTTTGGCTGAGTGTGTACCGGTGAAAGAGGGGGTGAGGGGAGGGGAGGGGAAGTGGATGTTGGTGAGGGGGGGAGGGTGAATGTGGGGTGATGGGGCCGATGTGGATGAAGGGTGGATGCTTTGTGAGGAGGTAAGGGGGGGGAGGATGTGGGGTGAGGGGAGAATGGATTTGGGGTGAGGGGAGAGGTGTATCTGGGGTGAGGGGGGGATAGAGTATCATTTCCACCACCCCCTCCCCCCCCCCAACATAAAAGTACGATACATGTTGTTACAACTACTTTACTTCTTCCACTACTGGTACAACAACTATTGCCACCACTACCAACTACTAACATCATCTATACCTAACTCTTTACCCATGTTCACCCAGCAGCAATTATGGACCTGGTTGTAAACTGACTGGCGGGTCGTGTTCCAGGGGAACAATTAATCTGGTATGGCTTAACACGAGTTATGGGAAGGGAAAGTTCTAGTCCTACAAACAGGAGTCAGAAGTCGTACACACAGTTCTTTGTACATACATTGTTTTGAATATACATTTTATTGTATTGTTTTGTATTGTCTACTCCTTTACTTGCCTGTCTCTGTTTCTCACTCTCTCGAGACAAACAGAAACAGGGGAAGAGAGAGAGACAATCACAAACGGCGAAAAGAAGAGACACAGACAGACCAACAGGGGCATGGTGGCTGAGTGGACAGTGCTTGGGATTCGTAATCCTAGAGGTCCAGGGATCTATCCCCGGCGATGGCGGAAACAAATGGGCAGAGTTTCTTTCACCCATGATGCCCCTGTTCACCTAGCAGTAAATAGGTACCTGGGAGTTAGCTGCTACAGGCTGCTTTCTGGGGATGTGTAACAAAAAGAAGGCCTGGTCGAGGACCGGGCTCCCAAGGACGCTAAGCTCCGAAATCATCTCAAGATAATCTCAAGATAGGTTAATTATTTAACCTATTAAATTAAATAGTTAATTATTATGGGCTGCTTCCTCTGTGTACTCACCTATTTGTGTCTGCAGGATCGAGCATTGACTCTTGGATCTTGGATGTGTGTGTGTGTGTGTGTGTGTGTGTGTGTGTGTGTGTGTGTGTGTGTGTGTGTGTGTGTGTGTGTGTGTGTGTGTGTGTGTGTGTATGTGTGTGTGTGAAAAAAAAAAAAAAAAAAAAAAAAAAAAAAAAATGATTGACAGTTGAGAGGCGGGTCGAAAGAGCCAGAGCTCAACCCCCGCAAGCACAACTAGGTGAATACAGACAGACAGAGAAAGGATGTGTTGAGATGCGTTGGGATGCTGTATATTTTCTCATATATTATCGTTATGTCTCACTATTTTTCTTGAATTTAATTTTGGTGCAGTGAGGTCGGATCGACCACAAGCACCAGGATGGCCGGGTATATATATAATATATATATAATATATATATATATATATATATATATATATATATATATATATATATATATATATATATATATATATATATATATATATATATATATATTGTTTTTACTTCCTTGTCCTCTCTTAACTTCATCTTTTCTCCAATTTCCAATTTCGTCCCCCAAACAAACCTTCCCCTCCTGTAATGTTGTTCCAACACGGTCAACAGAACACCCTCGTCGCCTCCTGTTGCCTGTTGTTCCTGTTGAATGTACTTACCTCTTAGTGACTACAGGGCAGTGAGGTCTAAGAGCTTTATATGCCCAGCCTACTAGCCTGGTGGTTGTACCTTATTTATTTATTTATTTAGGTTGTTAATTTATGTATTTTATTTATTTATATATACTGTACAAGAGTTCTTACATTCTTGTACAACCACTAGCGTTTCGGGCAGGTCCTTAATCCTAATTTCTTCCAAGAATACGATCTGCCAAATCGTTTAATAACGATGTTATTGTTATTAGTGTTATTTATGTGTTATTCATGCTACTGTTGTGTCTTGATTGAAATCTTTTTGCTATTGTGTATCTTTTACTATATATTCTGCAGTCTCAATGAACTTTTCTGTCGTAGTTTTTTTAATTATTTTGTTTTTTTTTTACTGTTGCTGTATGCAATTGTGTCACTAACGATGCTTCCGTGTTGACAGCAATATCAGGCGTTGGAGGAGGAGAAGGTGAAGCTGGACGCCTTCGTGGAAACCAGCCTTCAGAATGTAAGTATAGACAGACCCACACCATCAAGTCTACTACGGGCTCGCCTTACCCCGTGCTACTTGGAACAAAATGTTCCAAGTAGCGAATCTTAAACAACAACAACCCACACCATGCAGGCACTTCCTAACCAGCCTATGCAGCAGCGCTCTATACCAGGATGATATGGGGGGGGGGGTAGGAATAGCCTAAGCTACTCTATCCCTTTGAGATGTATTTCTTTCTTGTCTCAATAAACATACTTGAACTTGAACCAGGATGATGCACGCATCTCCCTGTTATGATGTGAGACAATTGTCATTATTAACCAGAGAACCGTTTGGGCACTGATCGTTATTCACATCTGACGTGATCACGGGTACAACGGTAGGGGGGACAATGTATACAATGTGCAGTCATCAAACACTCGTCGACATCAAATCAAATGAAGACAGATTCAACATTACTGCCTCTCTCGCAAAATTAATGCTTGATATTTTTTGTTAAACTAACGCTTAATCCTGACATTGGCCTGACAGTTGACATATAGGCTATACACGAGCTGTATAGTCCGGCCCTCATGTGGATAACATGATCGTGGTGTGTGGATGATAACACAGACGTATAGTGTGTGGGTGATAACACAGTTGTAGTGTGTGGATGATAACATAGTTGTAGTGTGTGGATGATAATACAGTCGTAGTGTGTGGATGATAACACAGTTGTAGTGTGGATGATAGCACAGTCGTAGTGTGTGGATGATAACACAGTCGTATAGTGTGTGGATGATAACACAGTTGTAGTGTGTGGATGATAACACAGTTGTAGTGTGTGGATGCTAATACAGTCGTAGTGTGTGGATGATAACAGTCGTAGTGTGTGGATGATAACACAGTCGTAGTGTGTGGATGATAACACAGTCGTAGTGTGTGGATGATAACACAGTCATATAGTGTGTGGATGATAACACAGTCATATAGTGTGTGGATGATAACACAGTCATATAGTGTGTGGATGATAACACAGTCATATAGTGTGTGGATGATAACACAGTCATATAGTGTGTGGATGATAACGCAGTCATAGTGTGTGGATGATAACGCAGTCATAGTGTGTAGATGATAACACAGTCGTAGTGTGTGGATGATAACACAGTCGTATGGTGTGTGGATGATAACACAATCGTAGTGTGTGGATGATAACACAGTCGTATAGTGTGGATGATAACACAGTCGTATAGTGTGGATAATAATACAGTCGTAGTGTGTGGATGATAACACAGTCATAGTGTGTGAATGATAACACAGTCGTATAGTCTGTGGATGATAACACAGTCATAGTGTGTGGATGATAACAGTCATAGTGGGTGGATGATAACATAATCATAGTGTGTGTATGATAACATCATATTGTATGAAATCAGACTTTATAAAAAACATTCTTACAACATTCAGAGAGATAAACAGGAGGAGGTGATGGAGTCAGGGCTGAAAGCAAGCAAGCAAGCAAGCAAACAAACAAGCATGAAACCGAACAACCAAATTCACGAAGAGTGCAAAAGACTCAAAGGAGGAACTGGCCTGGAAGATGATCAAATTTCTAAAAGAAACACAGATAAGAAACCGTGATTGGTGGAACAAAAAATGTGGAAAAAGAAATGGCTGGAATGGCAAAATTCAGAATCTAGCGTGTTTACGGCAGATATTCACTCCATGTGGCACTAGTGACATCAAACTGATCGTTGTATAGAGTTTTTGTCCAGTTTTCTGGCTGAAAGCGTTACTGTAGCACAGTGGTCTACGTCAGTGTTTTTTTTCAACCAGTGTGCCATGAAGGATTTACAGGTGTGTCTTGGAGATACACCAAGATATATCTCTCCAAGACACAGGTGTGTCTTGGAGAGTCCACAGGTGTGTCTTGGAGGGTCCACAGGTGTGTCTTGGAGGGTCCACAGGTGTGTCTTGGAGAGTTCACAGGTGTGTCTTGGAGGGTCCACAGGTGTCTTGGAGGGTCCACAGGTGTGTCTTGGAGAGTCCACAGGTGTGTCTTGGAAAGTCCACAGGTGTGTCTTGGAGAGTCCACAGGTGTGTCTTGGAGGGTCCACAGGTGTGTCTTGGAGGGTCCACAGGCGTGTCTTGGAGGGTCCACAGGTGTGTCTTGGAGGGTCCACAGGTGTGTCTTGGAGGGTCCACAGGTGTATCTTGGAGGGTCCACAGGTGTGTCTTGGAGGGTCCACAGGTGTGCCTCAGAGGATCCACAGGTGTGCCTCGGAGGGTCCACAGGTGTGCCTCAGAGGGTCCACAGGTGTGCCTCAGAGGGTCCACAGGTGTGCCTCAGAGGATCCACAGGAGCAGTACTGTATTCAGATTCAGATTCAGATTCAGATGTTTATTCAGGTAAGGTATATACATACAAGTGATGTTACATTAATGGATTGATATATAGATAGAGCTAGTACATACAATGCCTAAAGCCACTATTACGCAATGCGTTTCGGGCAAGAAAAACATTAATATCTAGAACTTAATACTAATTGAGCATAAAGAATAAAAGATGTTGAGAACAAATACAAATAAAGATAAAAAAAAGGGGGAACATGACTGAAAAAGCAGCACAAATACAATAGGTTGACAAACAGTGTTGATTAAAAAAAAAGAAAAAAAAAAGAAAATAACAGACATGGGTTGACAATAGAGGAGTGAGGTAGATTACAGGGAATTTATTAGGTAGTGTTTAGTTTTTATCTTAAACTGGTTGAGAGAGGTACAGTCTTTAACATGGTTGGGAAGGTCATTCCACATTCTGGGCCCCTTGATTTGCAGAGCATTTCTAGTTTGATTAAGACGTACTCTAGGAATATCAAAACTGTATTTATTTCTGGTGTGGTGCTCATGGGTTCTGTTACAACCTTCTATGAAGCTTTTAAGATCAGGATTGGCATTATAGTTTAGCGTTTTATATATGTATAATACACATGAGAGAATGTGCAGTGACTTAATATCTAACATATTAAGAGATTTGAGTAGGGGTACCGAGTGATGTCTGGGGCCAGAGTTGGATATTGTTCTAATAGCGGCTTTGTGTTGGGTAATTAGAGGACGTAAGTGATTTTGGGTAGTAGAACCCCAAGCACAAATACCATAGTTGAGATAAGGATAGATAAGGGAGTAATAGAGAGTCACCAGAGCAGGGCGTGGTACATAATATCTGATCTTAGAAAGAATGCCCACAGTTTTTGAAACTTTTTTTGATATATTTAGAATGTGTCCCTGGAAATTCAGCTTGTGGTCAATGAGAATGCCAAGGAATTTGCCATCTAATTTGTTACAAATTTGGGTATTGTTTATTTTGAGATTTATAAGACTAGAGGATTTATTGCCAAACAGAATATAGAAGGTTTTGTCAATGTTAAGGGTGAGTTTGTTGGCAGTTAGCCAAAGATGGACTTTATTTAGCTCAGTATTTACTGTGGCATTTAGAGCAAGAGGGTCAGGACTGGAGTAAATGAAGGTTGTGTCGTCAGCAAATAGAATTGGTTTGAGGTGTTGGGAGGCATTTGGAAGGTCATTAATGTAGATGAGAAAGAGGAGAGGGCCAAGTATGCTGCCCTGAGGAACACCAATGTTGATGGGTAGGGTGGGAGAAATTGTATTATTCTCAGAAACATATTGGAGCCTGTCAGTAAGGTAGGACTCGAGGTATTGTAGGGAGTGTCCTCTGACTCCATAATGATGTAATTTAAGAAGAAGGTTATGGTGGTTGACAGTATCAAAAGCTTTACGCAGGTCCACAAATAACCCAACAGGGAGCTCCTTTTTATCAAGAGCTGTATGAATCGAGTTAAGCATACTAATAAGTGCATCGTTAGTGCTTTTTTTGGGTCTGAAGCCATATTGGCAAGGGCTAAGTATATTGAGTTTGGCTAGATATGAGTAAAGCTGCTTGTATATAAGTTTTTCAAAAATTTTTGACAAGTTTGGCAGGATTGATATAGGTCTGTAGTTGTTAACATCTGTGGGGTCACCACATTTGTGGACAGGCGTTACTCTCGCTTTTTTTAGAATATCTGGAAAGGTTTGGAGTTCAAGTGAATTGTTGAAGAGCAAAGCAATAGCAGGGGCTAAAGATCTGGAGGCTTTTTTGTAAATTAAAGTTGGTATCTCCTCAAGGGCACCAGACTTGGTTTTAAGGGAAAGGATTATCTCATTGACGTCAGTGGAGTTAATAGAGTAATATAGTGGAGTATAGAGTAATAAGGGCTAACTTTGCTATATACATGTAATATTAACATTGTATGGGTTGAATTTCAGTTTCCTTTCAATGTGCAGGTCATCTTACATATGGTCCTTCTTTCCCTAGTTTAACACCAATGACATAAACTGATACAGTGTGCCTACCTGTTTTCTGGTTTAGTTCTTGAATCCATTGTTGGCATACATTGAACTATGTAACTTGCTTATTAAGGCTGTCACTTGCTTATCCAATTGAATTTTAGGGTTCAATTCTGGAGCCCATTATCTGCTTCAATTTTATTTATTTATTTATTTATATATATATATACAAAAAGGTACATTGGGTTTATGAGAGTACTGTACATAGCATTGATGTTTTTACATTCTTGTAAAGCCACTAACACGCATAGCATTTCGGGCAGGTCCTTAATCTAATATAATTTTAAGTAGGTAATTTGTAGCAAAATTGAAAAACATTAAAAGGTACATTGTAAGAAAATTTGAAGAAAATTAGTAGGTACATTATAATAAAATTTGAGGATTATCTACAGGAACATTGTAGCATAATTTGAGGATAATTTCTAGGTACATTGTAATGACATTTACATTCAACATAACAATATGATATAAAATGATGGCAATGATTACAACAGTGAAATTATATGGCTTAGTCTCATATTTTAGGGTAGTACAAGATACAGTGTGAGTTTGAAGCACTAGGTAGAAAACTATGAGGATGTCTCTAACCTTTTCTGCTACCACCCACAGGATAGCTCATATCCTGTAGGTGGTACCACCCTATATCCTGGCTCAACTAAACTGCAGTTTGTACCTGTTTTCTGCAGGCTGTGACTCAGGAGAGGCGTCGGTATGGATTCATTTTAGAGCGTCAGTGTTCACTAGCCAAGCATTACCTGGCATACCATGCCAAGGGCTCTAATCTCCTACAGCACACCCTTGACAATTGGAATGATGTTGCCAAGACACGCGAGGCACTCCCAGAACGTATCCGGACCATGTTACCCTCTGCCAGACCTAAGGTAAGGGGAACTGAGTAGATGAATCTCTTTGACAAAATCCAAGATGATAATAAAAAAAGAACTGTACCCTTGTGAAAGTAAGTAGATTCTTGATTAACAGAATGATTTTACTTTTAGTGGCACAGCACCTTGACCATTGACTCCCAAGCCCTGTGGCCACAATATTCAAGAGGCTTTATTAATGTCACAATCAATGTCATAAACTTTGATTTAACGTTGATAACATTGATAATGTTGATTTAACGTGATTGAGTCAACGTCGAACCACTGCCACTCTGATATTGTGCTCACTGGAAGGTAATTGGTCAGTTCTCAGACCAATGTATAGCCTAGTAATCAGTACAGTAGTCCCTATATCCTGGCTCAAGGCACTCCTTATAGTACAATCTGATGAACTTAGGAGTTGTAGGGCACTTCTCATTCCTGAAGAGTAAATATATCATAATGCAGCTCCCATACTGCTGTAATAGGCATTTAGAGTTTCAAGACTGAAATATGTGAGTGGTGAGGGAGCTAGACTTACATTCACAATTCCTGGTTCGAATCCAGGGTGGGACAGAAATGGTTGGGCACATTTCCTATCACCTAATACACTTGTTTACCTGCAGTAAGTAGGTACCTAGGAGTTAATCAGCTGGTTTTGGGTCTCCATCCTGAAGAGGGTTAGTAATTCAATCCTGGTTGGAGGGGGGGGACGTCGATATAAACTTGATGTGTATACATACACTCTGGCTGCCTGTCCCCCCGACACAATGATTTATATTATAACTATTATTCACAAATTGTTTTGGGCTTAACTTAAAATAATTCAGTAGGTTGTATAAAGATTTGATGAGGTAGACACTTAATATTAAACAGGAAGGAATCAAGAACAGTTCAAGAAGTTAAGCAAATGATATACTGTAATGCTTTTAAGGAGAACATAATGTAAACAAAAGTAGGAGAAAATGACTATGTGTTATGGGGTAACACTTTACATAAAATGAGAAATGATAACATTCATGAATTATTGAGAGATTTGAAAATAATTTAATTATACAACAGGTATTTCTAAACAGCACATCATACTCAGAGAGATCACAGTAACATGATACTGTATATGTAATGAGAAAATCCACAGGAGCATGATGAGGATTCGAACCTATAGCAGCCGTTATCTTAACAATACTGTACAGTACATAGTTATGTGGTGTTTGTATATTGGCCTTCAATTTTGTCCATGTAAATGTCTGAAACACACTGCATATCAAGGACTTTTAGGGATTGTACTTGTTTTACCTAGGAATTCTCACTGTTCTTGTATTTTATGTATGTAGTTTTGCCTGATTATTATAATAATAGTAATAATAATTATTATTAGTGTTACTTATTATACTATACTGTAGTTATTTGAAGAAAGAACTAATTAGGCTTCATGATACAGAAGTTGAAGGTTCACCACAGAATTTACAAGGCTGTGTTCAGGTACTGTACTATTTTCTCTAAGTTCATGCCTTACTTACTGACATTAACTCTTCAGTTTCTCTTTTCGTCATATTTTAAGTACAGTACCTGTATGCATATTTACACCTTTATTTTCATTACAGGATGACGGTATCTACTCGATGCCAATGTGCCTTGAAGATGATGCAATGTCAGTTACCTCACAAATGAGAAAAGCACGATCAGTTGATGCTTCTTGTCTTGACCTTAGCAATGTTGGAGATGAAATACCTACACGTCCTCTAACTCGAGCTAGGTCAGAGTTCAATCTTGACCATAGATTCGCTCGTGAGTACAACAAATTTGCCAACTAATTAGCAACATCTTAGAATTTCTTAAATTGAAGTTTGCCTGTTAGGAAACCAAGCTATTATTTGATATCTTTTTTAAAACAAGGTTTAGATGGGAACAAATGCCAGCAGATGCACAGAGCATTATTATAAGGAAAGAAGAGTAGGGAGGGAGAGATAAAGAAAAAAGAGAGAAAGATCTAGGGTGGATTCTAAACAGAGAAATGTCACCTGAGGACCATGTAAAGAACATTGTGCAATGAGCCTATGCTATAGTTTCTATTTTCAGAGTTGCTTTTAAATGCATGGATGGTGAATTACTAAAGAGATTGTTCACAATCTTTGTGAGACTAAAGCTGGAATTTGCAATGATAGTATGGTGCCCATCTTTTAATTAAGAACCACATAAACTAACTGGAAAAAGTGCAAAAACATGCAACTACAGTAAATGGCTTCCGGAACTGAAAGACAAGAGCTACGAGGAAAGGTTAGAGACATTAAATATGCAAAGCTAGAAGATCAAAGAAAAATAAGTGATATCATTGTGGGGTACAAAATAGTAATAGGAATCAACAAAATTGGTAAGGAATAATTCCTGAGACTTGGAACTTGAAGAACAAGAAGTCATAGATTTAAGTTAACTAAATAATGCTGCTGAAGAAATAAAAAAAAAATCACTTTCACAAACAGAGTGGAAGATGGTTGGAACAAGTTAAGTGAGAAGGTGGTGGAGGCCAAAGTTTCAAAGCATTATAATAATTCATTGTGTGGGGGGACAGGAAGCCAGAGTGTATTCATACACGGTAGGCTGATATCAAGGTCCGCCTGCGATATAAGGTAGACTTATATCAAGGTGTCCTGGGAAGACAGGACACCAAGATCATAGCTCTCTTTCTGTAACTACACTTAGGTAATTACAAAAACAATAAATGTATACTGACTACTAGTGTAAAACTAAGCAATTGGTTTAGCTCCATACAGTTAGCTGCACTACACCTAACCACTAAAACACTGAAAAATGCAGTAGTTGGATAGAGACCTACTGCATAAGTCTTTCAGGACAAACTGGTAAATTTTGATCTTGGGACCATCACTGTACAACAGTTGCAATAAAGATTTGCAGTAGAGAAATAGCTCATTAATTTCTAAACTGTTCTACTATGCTGTATAACTGTATAACTACTATGTACAATGCTGATTTGCATAGTACTGTAACTGAATGTCTACATATGTGAGAAAAGTTTAAACAACTACAATAATTTTATCAAATTTTAATTCTTTGAATATTTTAAGTTTGTTGTGTTTTTTACAGCAGATAATATGATGCTACGAAGGTCTATGGCAATACCGGAGGACATGGGACGAAGAGCCATGGCAAGGGCTTTGTACTCTTACACACCCAGTGGCGATAACCAGCTCTCATTCAGCGAGATGGACCTCATTGCCCTTATTGGTATGTTTACATCTTTTAATTACAATATGAAATACTGTAATAATAATAATACCAAAACATAAGCTATATACAAAAGATTTAGCAGCATTTATATAAATCTTGGAATAATATTTAAAAGTAAACAGGTATAGATTTTTAGTTGTGGTTTTGCAGATGCTCCACTGTATATTGTTACACATTACTGTCTAAATTACTAGTAAAAATAACAAGAGAACATAGTTATTACTACATAGGATTCGGTATTACTTTGCCAACTCTTTAATGTTAACTGATTAGAAATCCACAGACAAATCTGTGGACTTGCTACTACTTCCTGCTACTTCCTGATATACATCGTGCCAAAAATTATTTCATGGAACTGCAAATGGCTAAGAACAAACAGAGGATTTCAAAATAATCCTTTACAATTCCAACCCACAAGTGCTTTGTTAATAGAAGACAAAGATATGGTAGTCAAACAAAGGTTGGGACAGGTATCATGATCAATAAACTGAAAGTATCCAACAGAAACCCTCTAGCTCTAACAACTCTCCTTCAGGCAACTGCAATGCATTAACTCTGACTCATTGAATCCCTCTCTGTACTATGTAACTGAACTGCTACCCACCTTGTTAATTGCTCCCTTTCAATTGAAGACCTGCTAGACCAACTCCACACTCCAATCCTACATTAGGGTGGCCTTAATACACAATCCCACTGAAAAATAGTACTATACCATCCTAGATAATAGGACAAGTCACTGAGACTTATAATCACAAGTAACAGATTTCTCTTCAAATGATGTTCACCCATGTTCCATAACATTCACACAAATGAATGCTTTTCTCTATACAGTATATAAAGGCTTATCAGACATACAGTACTGTATACCTAAACTTTACATGGACCATAGAAAGTGACTTGCATGGCAGTGATCACTTTCTTATTTATTTAAAGGCCACCTCCTTCATACTCCCTGCCACATTACCAAAGTGGAAGATTGACCAAACGAACTAGGCCAAGTTTGATGAGGGCACTATTATCTGAATTTATTTTGTCAGGGACAGAAGCCTATGTATATATTGAGGTTCAAAATATAGTGTACCTGGAAAAGATCATCAAAGCAAATGGGGGGACCTTCAACAAGCTGCTGGCTTCCTGTCCTTGTCGAGGCCACTAGGGTTAGTGGCCCTCAGGTAAATCAGGTAAATACTGTATATATTTTAGGTTCGTATTAATATTCCCCAGGGTCGAACTACTGACCTTCCCTAAGATGTAACCCTACTGTACAGCCTAACTCCCAGATACCTATTTACTGCTAGATGAACAGCTGCATTAAGTAAAAGGAAATGTGCCCAATCATTCCTGTTCTGCCTGGAAATTGAACCTGGGAACCCCGATTATCAGTCGAGTCGAGGTATTATGTCAACAAGCCTTAATGCAATCAAAAAATTAATACAGTATAACAATTCCAAAAGTGCAATTAAAACCATAACATTCTGTTCCAAACCTGCACACCATTTATTTATTTATTTATTTATTTATTTATTTATTTATTTATTTATTTATTTATTTATCTATTTATTTATTTATTTATATACAAGAAGGTACTTTGGGGTTAAGAGAGTACGTGTATGTATATAAAAACCCGCTCGGATGTGAATGGAAAGTTGTGTCAAAATTTCAAAGCAATCGGTGAAGAACTTTCAGAGATTAGCGATTTTGAACAACCGAACATTTCCATTTTTATTTATATAGATAATCTATCAATCATACTGTCCCTTTCTGTCTACTGGATAAACAGAGGCATCAGGTGAAAGGAAAAGTTTCTAACCATTACTGTCTTGCCAATGGATTGAACCTGGATCCACTGATTATTATTATTGTGAGTTGAGAACATACACTGATTTAGTAAATTTGACTCTGATCATCCCCAGGTGAGAAGAATAAAGGCTGGCAGTATGGAGAAAATTTAAGGACCCAACGTTGCGGATGGTTCCCTGTTGCATACACCGAAATTATCCATGAAGAAGATGACTCCGCTCTTGGGTAGGTCTCTTTCTGTGCAATATCCCAAGTTTGTTCTCTTTGTTTTAAGACCTTCTTTGAAACCTAGGTTAAGCTATTTACTCTCCTCCCAGCCTAGTATTGTTCTAGAAGTTTTCCTCTCTGTTTTGCAGAAATTCTTTTACATACATACCTATTTCTGATTCATAAACTTGCCTACTCCATTATCCTAATGTTTTCTCTACTTTAATGTCTTGTTACATTGTTGAAGTTGTCCAGATTGGGTTTACCAAAGAATGTTGTTCTACATTTAGATTAATGCATTATTGTGATAAATTTACATAATGGTATGCGTATAATGCTTCACAGTACATTGAACATTCATGAATACACTTTTTATTTAAACTGTGGAAAAGATAAATCGAGCATGTTAAGGTATCAAAGTGACATTGAAACAGTAAGCACACAATGTTTGGTTAATAATCCATACATTTAAAAATATGAAAAATCTATTTACAGGGTATTTGGAAATCTGAATAATGTAGTCTCTGAGTGTCATTTGATATGGTATACTGGACTAATCAAGAGAATATACAGGGGTACCTCGGTTTAAGAGTTTAATCCGTTCCTGGAGACAGCTTGTAACCCGAAAACTCGTAAACCGAAGCTAATTTCCCCATAAGAAATAATGGGAAATGAATTAATCCATTCCTGACTACCCAAAAACCTCACTTCAAACTAAATTTTATACCTAATTCATCAAAATCTACACTACAAAAGTATGTTCAAGTTATTACTTACCCTTGCTGATGACTACTGTTGGCGTATGGAAGATGGTGAGGAGGGGGGAGGAGGAGAGGTGTTACTGTTTGGAAGGGGAGTCCCCTTCCATTATAACATCAGGCAGTGAGGACCTCTCTGGGGTGCACTCTCTGGCATGTTTTGCCTGCATACCACTAAGTCCTGGTTGTGGCTCACTGTTTGATTTTCTCATAACAAAACGATCCATTGTTTTTCCCTTCTTCGCAAGATGTCTCTGTAGTGAGGCATCACATTGTCATTGAAAAGATTAATGCAACGGCCTACTACAGCTTTCTCTGGGCGAGTCGTTTCAATAACAGTTTCCATTTCTTCCCACATCTGACACTACTTCCTAATGGTTGTGGAAGGGACATCCTTTTCCTCCTTCACTGGAGAATTATCCTCAGCTGCCTCTTCTTGCTGCTCCTTTTGAAGGGCTTGGAGTTCTTCGGTGGTCAGTTCTTCATTGTGTTCTTCCACCAACTCCTCCACATCAGCACCATCCAATTCCAAGCCCATTCTCCGGCCCAGAGTAACAATTTCCTCAACAATAGGCACTTCATTTACAGGCTCAAACCCCTCAAAGTCTAGTTCTGGTACACATTCAGGCCACAATTTTCTCCAGCCAGAGATCAGGGTTCTTTGAGTCACTTCTTGCCAGGCTTTGTCAACGAGTTTTAAAGCACTACAAATGTTAAAATGGTGTTTCCAGAACTCTTTGAGGGTGAGGTTTGTGGCTTCAGTCACTTCAAAACATTTCCGGAAAAGTGCCCTTTCATAAAGTTTCTTAAAATTCGCTATGATTTTCTGGTCCATAGGCTGAATTAGAGGAGTGGTGTTAGGAGGAAGGAACTTTACTGTGAGAAAATTACTGTATCTGTTCAACAATTCATCTTCCAAGCCTGGAGGATGAGCAGGAGCATTGTCGAGGAGAAGCAGGGCCTTGAGTGGCAAACTTTTCTCCTGCAGATATTTTTGTATGGCAGGGCACACCACATCATTCACCCATTCCATAAAAAAAATCCTTGTCACCCCATGCCTTATTATTAGCCCTCCACATCACACACATTTGGTTTTTCTGCACTTCATACTCTTTGAAAACCCTTGGATTTTCAGAATGATACACAGCAATTGGGTTTAATTTTCAAATCGCCACTCGCATTTCCACACAGCACAAGCGTAAACCTATCTTTCATAGGCTTGTGACTGGGCAATGATTTTTCCTCCTTGGTAATGTATGTCCTCTTAGGCAGTCTTTTCCAGAACAGTTCTGTCTCATCACAATTAAACACTTATTGCAGTAGGTATCCCTCAGCCTCTACAAACTCTTTAAATTCTTCAATAAATCTTTCAGCCGCTGGTTTGTCTGAGCTGGCAGCCTCCCCATGCCTCACAACTCTATGAATACCACTCCTTTTTTTTAATTAGTCAAACCATCCCCTGCTTCCCTTAAAGTCTATCGTATCTGGACTCGTTCCAAGGGTTTTCTTTACAAGGTCTTCATGCAATACCCTGGCTTTCTCACAAATGATGGCCTCTGAAACACTATCACCCGCTAACTCCTTGTTGTGTATCCAAATTAATAACAACTTTTCCACTTCCTCAAGTATTTGTGGTCTTTGTTTCGTGATTGTTGATACGCCTTTTGCCACTTTAGCACTCATAATGTCCTTTTTCTTGGCAAGTATAGTGCATATCGTTGACATGGATTTGTTGTACTGCCTACAAAGTTCAACAACACGTGTACCATTTTCATGCTTCCGAATGATCTCTTGTTTTTCCTCTATTGTCATCCTCACATGCGATTTCTTGCCTTGAACCTTACCACTGGCTTTCTTGGGACCCATTGCGAGATATATAATAACAACTTTTATGCTCAAATGGCCAAATATCCGACAAAACACTGTAAATCCTTGTGAAGAATTCAGGCGGGATAGTCACTGGGCGCGAGGCACTGGTAAACTGAGGGGCAATCAATGTACCACCACGCGCTAGGTCAGCCCGTACGCATATCAACACACTTGTTACCCGATGCAATGCTCGTATTCCGATGCAAATTCTCCAATCAAATCCTGCTCGTAACCCAAAAAACTCATAACCAGGGACACTCGTAACCCAGGGTTCCACTGGGCTTAGTTCAATGAGCACACAGCATCCAAAGAGTAGAAATAGCATAGATGACCCCCAGACCAGCACCCCAGCTGCAGGTAGCAGTGACGGACACAGTGGTGATGCTACCCAGCTCCCTCTTGCCCATACCCAGCGTTACCCCTCTAAACACAGATCCTCCAGTGCTCATGCCGTGCAGGTGAGTCAACCCTAAAACACTCTCATGAGGGTCACTTATGCATGTTCTTTAAAATAAATGATGGTAATGTTAATGCTTAAACTGGATCATCCTTGTCCTATCTTAGAGTTGGGATTAGTTTTTCAAGCATGTGTTAAATTTTTTTCAAGTGAGATATTGCTCTTTTCAAGTATACAGTGTATTGGTAAGGTCGAATAACTGCCTTCTTCTTGCATTCAAATCCCTCACTTGGACTGGATGGTAGAGCAATGGTGTGCTTCTTGCAGGTCGGTGTTCAATTCCCGACTGTCCAAGTAGTTGGGCACCATTCCTTCCCCCTCTCCTATCCTAAATCCTTGTCCTCATTCCTTCCAGGTATAGTTGTAAAGGCTTAACCCTTTCTGCTCTAAATTTCCTTACCTTGCACTCATATAGTAATGGATGCAGTCAATCATCAATCTTACAGCAGATTGATGAAGAAAAGGTCCTTGGAGTCAAAATCCACCACTTATTAAAAGTTGCACAACAGGTGGGTTCAGCAGTCAGAAAACTTAATCAAACTCTTGGGCTAATCAAGCGTACTTTTGACTATAATGAAAAGAAGGTAATGGTTCAACTGTACAACTCTCTGGTGTGCCCCCCGTTTAGATTACTGTATCCAAGTATGGTAACCTCATTTTTGGAAGGACATAGCTGCTCTGGAGAAGGTACAACACCAGGCAACAAAAGTCATTCCAGAGATAAGTCATCTCTCGTATCAGGAACGCTTGAAGGCCACAGGGCTAACAACACTGCAAACCAGACATGACAGGGCAGATCTCATCGAAACTTTTAAAATACTGAGCAAGTTTGAGGATGTTGATCCGGATATTTTCTTCAGAAGGTCAGATGTAAGACAAACAAGGAGCAATGGTTTCAAGCTCAACACGCCACAATGTAGGACTGAGAACAAGAGATGCTTTTTCACCCACAGGGTTATTAACCCATGGAACCACCTGCCCATCGAAGCTGTATCTGCCAAAACTGTGTTAAAATGTGTTGAGTTTTAAAATATACCTGGAAAAGATCATCAAAAAAAATGGAGGGACCTTCGTCAAGCCACCAGCTTCCAGTCCTCATCGAGGCCAATATGGTTGGCTTCAGGTAAATCAGGTATATGTATATATAATTATTCCTAACGTCTATCAACTGGTTGACCTTGTAAACAGCTTATCAGATCTGCTAACCTGCTTTCAATGATTGGTGGAATATCACATCAAGGTCCTTTTCTTCTATTTAGTAGCAGGGGCAGGGCAATGTTGTCGGTATGGTAAGTACTGTATCTGTGATAAGTGTTGTTGTGTAGGGTCTTGTATTTTTATGCTGAATAACATTTTCCAGAATTGTTATCATTGTTGGACATTCACTTAAGCTATTTTGCATGACCTTTACTCCAATTACTTTTTTGTATCACTAGCAAATTTTATGATCACGCTGTAGATGATGATGATAATGTCATTATTGTAGAGTGCAAAGAGGGTTAACATTATAATGCATCCCTGTGGTACTCTGCTAATTATTAAAAGTTATGCACTTTCCCATGCTTTCTGCTAATCTTAATATGGGGAGTTTTGGGGCTGGTGTACTGCTAGTTGAATGGGAGGGGAATGTTCTTTGTTAAATCCCCTTCATGTCTCATCTTGTTATCACCATAAGGTGTGTCTGGGAAGTGCTTTAACACTTTCTTGCATTTTGCCAGTTTTCATTCTTCTCTTGAGTCATATCATTTTCACATAATTGTTCCTTGAGCATTACCTCATCTTCAAAGTTGTTACTTCATATTTCTACATCATATTCTTCATATTTCATGCAGCCACACTTTCAGTACGTTATTCATTTTTAAATTTAACAGAACTTATTACTTACTAATACAGTATAATTTTGTGATTTTTTTTTTCAGTTCCGAGCCCCTAGTCCCACCACCACCTCCAATGCCAGTACCTCCACTTCTTCCGCGGCCCTTTCAATGTCACAACCCTCCGCTTCATCTACCGCCTCTTCCAAATCATCACATGTAGCATCGTCCCATGAGACATTGAGAACCTCCACCACAGCCTCTTCCAGTGCCAATACAGTTCTTTTCAACCACGCATTCATGGAACCTCTCCCACCTCGTGTGGCAGCCCCATCCCTGAAGAAGTCCCCTAGCCAGCCTCAGTCCCACTCTCGGCCAGGGTCAAATTCTTTCACCAGTAACACTCTCACTCCTGGCTCTTCAATGACCTTGAGTCGATCCTTTACAACCACTGCCGTATCTTCCCACCTCTCTACACGCTTCCAGAAGAGAGGAAGTGGAAATTCCTCTTCATTCCATTCAAGTGATGATAGTGGCTTTAGTAATGAAAGTGGCAGCGTACGACCTCCAGTCAATCCTGATGCTGACTACTCTGATGATGATCTTAATGGGTAAGGTCTTTATTTGGTATTCTTTGTTGTTTTGCATGCTACATGCATTATATAAATGTTTGATGTAAATGTAATCGTCCTGCTTTTGCTTTTGTTTGCATTATTTGTCTCCTTCTGTTTCCTTTTGCTTTCACTGTCATTCCTTTGCTCCACCAGAGTTGCCTCACATTCCATGAATAGTCTCAGCTCGCGGTGGTTGAGGTCTGCCTCGACTCTGCCCTATGACTCAGAGCCTGTATCTCTTCCATGTCTTCTGAACTCTGAGTCATTGAGTTCCAGTGAGCCACAGTCCATACAACATATTCCACCACACCAGGATGCCACTGTAACTCTCCCAACACCAGGACGCAGACATAAGGTTTTGAAAGGGAAGCACTATCGAGATCTTTCTCTTCCCTCTCTGGGCATCGATCATTTTGTCACTATGGCCCGTAGAAAAACCAACAAAGCAACTCCAAATGCCCCCTGTGCCCAGAAGATTGCTGCTCAACGGGAACGGGGGAGAGAACAAGGAAGAGCGAAGAGAACTCTACGCCGGAGCTCATCTTTACTCTGTCTTGGCATGGACACCTGCACAGGAATCCCAGAAGATCTCCTGAGTGTTGACTATGAAGACGTTTGGTCTGAAAGTTGGAGACACTCTTCACTTGTGGACTTGTTTGCAAACATCCCTGATCCTCCATCTTTTCAGCCTCCTTCGCCACCCACTTCTACTCCCAGTTGGTCATCAGTAGACTATTCGATCCGGCCTCCTATGCCTATCCCACAAGATGGCCAACAATCTTCTGTTTCATTTACTGACACTATCACAAATGAAATATCTCCACAGAACTCATCATCTGGAAACAGTACACTGACAGGCAGTGATGAGGAAGACGAAGAAGTTTATATGGTTGTAAGTGACCACCGTCAAGAGTTACGGAAAACCATCACTCGCGCTCAGTCTAGGAAACAAGTGTCCCGCTCTCTAACCTGGACATCTCCAGCCCATCGTTCCTGTTCTTCTCCTCTGAACCTTCCACTGTCAGTCTCCAATAAATCTTCAAGCAGCACATTATCAGCAAAACACAAGTGGATTAGACGAAGCCAGTCTCCTAGTTGTTCAGATCAATCATCCCAACAGAGCAGTCATGAATACAGATCTTCTCAGTCCAGTTATTCCACTCTTGACTCAAATCAAACCACAACATCCTGCAAGCCCATTACTTCACCCCCTCTTCCCCCGAAGAAAAAGTCATCCCGTCCACAGTATCCACTTCCACATGCCCTTCCTCACCAAAATTGCCCGCAATCACAGCATCAGTACCAATATTCAGGTTTGGGGAAGTATTGGGGGGATCTCAACATACTCAACTACAGTGACTTCATGAATCGCCGGCTGAAATATCCTGAAGGTGCCTCTCAATTAGACCAGGTATCCTTCACCACTGGAAACTTGTGTGGGCCCTGGTATGACCTCTGGGCAGAGGATCCTTCTGTGGGCGATGTATAACCAGCAATCTGTTTGTAGGCAACTGTTAAACTTGTACCTAATCAGTTATAACTATAGATACAAAGTATGTTTGCGGGATTTTTACAGCACAAGAACTGTCGAATCCTAGTGACTGTTACATTAACAGACGCCAGAATGAGGTTATTTACTTTTAACATTTTTGTCTTGCATGTGCATAAAATTTTAAGACTTTTGTAACTATTGCTTATTACTGAATCATATTGTTATGTTTTACAGTGACTATTGCTTTTCGTTAATATTTCCATAAAGCTTTTCATACCTTAAACGGAGGTGCCAAACCTAACATTTGAAAAAGATATCCAAGTTTTAGCTATTTTTTTCTTAAACCCAATGAGGGGACACAAAACATTACCAGCTTTTAGTTGGTAATGTATAGTTAATTTGTATTGCCTGATTAAGTCTAATGTACATTTTGCCATATTCAAATTGCTGTAAATAAGAGAAAAAGAATTTCAAGAGTCATTCCTAGCTTTCCATACTTCTCTTTGTATATAATACCCTGTCTTACCTCTCACTGTCACACCAAAAGAAAATTTTTAATTAGATTTAGTACCTCTATTTGATGCCTCAGTTTGTACACTGTCTGTATCTGTATGTTATAATGTGCCTGCATGCAATTGCCCTGTTTATGTTAAGGGTTTTTTGTGTTATATTTTATATCAGCAGTACTTAGTTCTTAATATTTTATATGCTATATAATATCCTAACGAACATGTTCTTTCGATTCTTGTGTTCTTCAGTGTTAAACAATCTTAGGTACCCATACTCGAGGATGTTTTCTGTGATATGTGTAAGGTTACAGAGTTCTGTCTGAATAACACGTAAGTTATAATTGCAATTCTAAGTTATCTTTCAGTGTTTCTATTTAATTATATTTTTGTACCTCTGTTGTAAATGCTTTTGTACAAATGTTTTATAATAACTTGGCTTAGCTCACATTTTATTACTATCTTAAATGAGTTATGGATTTGATGGCTAGTGGAACTACAGTATTTTTTTATGCCAAATTTTTATTTACAAACACACATGTTGAATTATTAATGTTCAAGTGATATCACGTTAAGAGGTGTACTCTTCTTCTGTGTATACATTATACAAGTACTGAGAATTACTTTAGTTCAAGACTAAGTTCAGGACTTGGGTAGCTGGTTGGTTAGTGAACAAATGTCACAGCCTTGACACTTCTCCAGAGGTTGATAGGCCTTAAGCCCTACACCAAAAACTTCTTCATGATTCTTCTCATATTTTCTAGTGCTGTATTGTATAAAGAGTATAATCTCTATAGAAGTAGAGTACACATTAATTAAAGTGACCTAGTGCCTTGAAATAGTTCTAGATTAAAACCATATTTAAGCCAAGCTATGATGATTCCAAGGTACTGTACTTATTTTGTGTATATGGATATCTGTTGTACAAATATATCACTTGTATAATAACATCTAGACCTTTAAGGTAATTCTGTTGAATTCATAAATAACAACACTTATCAGGTAATTATTCTGCAAGTCATAACTATGTTAGTTTTAGTAAATATTCAGATGTTGTGCTTTCTTGTTGCTTGGCAATGTTGGTAACCATCGGGTACATATTTACTCAGTTGTATATATATTACAGCATTACCAGCCAGCTTGTATTACAGGGTTGCTGGTGGCCTGAGACAAGAACTGCCTCACAAGACAGCCCAGAACTCCTACAAAAAAAAAGAAAAAGTGTACAGATAGTGATTACCCGGTAGAACTTGATGCGACTCCTCTCCCTTGTCATCTGATATACAGTTCATGCAATCAGCCTCAATATTTTATAAATTAAATTTCAAACATTAATTTACTTCTGAAGGTAGTGATCTTTATATTGATTACTTGATAATATGACATTTTCATAATAAATGTAGTTTTTACTTAAGAAATGGAGGAAAGAGGGAAATTCCAGATGTAGGAATTGATTCGCCAACTGTATGTGTCACTTGATCATCATCATATATACAGTATATTATCCTGAACCCTGTAATATGAATGTTATGTGGGTGCTGCTCGATTTATTTAGATAACAATGTACACAAGTACAATTGTAGGTTTGTCAAATATATCATTTTTATACTTGTACAGCTACATTATAATATCTGACTTTGTTCTAGTTGCAAAGTAAGAATATTATACACATACTTGTATAATAACATCTCTTTGTACATATATTTGAGTAGATTTAACTATTTAATTGTGTCACCTGGGTATTCAAAAGGTGGTAAAAATATAGTAGAATAGTGTACAGTATTCAATAATCTAAAAGAAAGAACTTTGAAGATAAAAAAATTATTGTGGGTAGTGCATGAAAGTTTTTGAATGATAATAAAGTTTGAATGAATTATATATATTATATGTCTGGTGTATAAGTGTGAGTAGCCATTTACATATTCAGCATGTAATTGCCAAAACTTTAATGCCTAATGGAAACGGCAGGCTAAATAAAATGTTTTAGGAGATTTATAAGTAGTACGTGACAGTGGGAAGAACTGTGTGTTTGCCACTCGGCAAGAGTGTGTCTGTGCTACTGTGCTACTAGGAATCTGTTAATGTTGTGATAGGAGTGAGCAAAGCAGTATCATACTCTATGTAATTTTTTAAAGTTGACAATGATCGAGTATAGTGTTGGTAAAATAGTTTTATATAAAAAATCACTTAGTATTTGCCTTATTTATTTTAAACCATTTCCTAAAATATAACCCTAAAATTACCATGTTATGTAGCAAGCTATTTTCATTAAAAAAAAAAGGCAGATTTCATGTACAGTAAATTAATACAATTTGCCTGAATTTCCAAATATATGCCATCTTTGACAGCAATGCTGCCTTACCATTGACAAGGTTCCTAAGGTACTCTGTGCAGTTTAGAATCTCAAAAGCAGCATTGTTAGATACTTGATCTGCCTTTAAATAAAGATAAATAAATTTTTTATTATATCATTGTTTTATTTCATAGCAGCTCAACTTTGGCTATGCTTCATCTGTTGGTATATTAAGTGCACTACAGTCACTAAAGCACAGTAGTTAGTGCAGCCTGCACACATACCATTTTTCCTACATTAAACTTCCAGATAGGTGAGACTTGCATGGGCACATTTTCTTATAACCAATGCCTTGCAGGCCAATTTGGGTAATTTTGTACTTTTGTTTTTTAATTCAGGTAAATATTTCATTATAAAAGGAGCATATTTCCAATTTCAATTATGTGTACTGTAGGTGCATCTGCGGAACTGCGATGGCAGATCAATATGGTCGTCATGGTCTGGTATGCCGTAAATCACAGGGTAAGATTGCAAGACATGAAGAAGTCAATGACCTCATCAGGAGGAGCCTTGCCACAGCCCACTGCCTGGCACAAAGAGAACCACACTTATTCAGACCTAATGACCCTCAGAAGCACCCAGGGTCGTTAGCAAGGTGACCCTAGATGGGGTCACCTTGCTTCCTTGGAAGGATGGTAAGCAAGTGGTGTGGGACTACACGTGCGCTGCCACACTGGCCAGTACCTACCTCCACTACAGCACACGTGAAGGGGGTGGCGCTGTTTCTTTCAGGGAATCGCAAAAAATTATTAAATACAGAGGTCTGGCACACTGTTACAGCTTTGTTCCGATCGGCTCGGAGACCCTCGGTTATTGGTGAAAATGTGCATTGAAGTTCCTGAAGGAATTGGGGGACAAATTGATCAGCGCTACAAAAAATCAGAGAACAAAAGTTTCTTGTTCCAGCGCCTCAGTGTTGCGATTCAGAGGGGAAATGCCTGTTGTGTCTTGGGCACTAGTCCAACTTCAGAGGAATTTGAAGAAGTGTTTGACTTGCCACAATGATTTTAAATTTTGCCCCGAGGGGCGAGTTTATTGGGCAGCGCCACTCATCTTGTGAGTGGACATACCGCCATAGCAGCATGTGCAACACTCCCGAATAGGAAGAAACCCCGGTGGGTTGTTCATCCTGTTGCCACAATGATCGAACCTGTCTGTGACATTTATCAATGTTTCCCATTGTCGTATTTTTCAAGAGATCCATAACCTTTAAGCACTTTTTGTATCAACCCATGTATATCTTATAACCATTAAATATATATATAAATATATTAAACAAAATGTAAATATGATTTAGACATGACAGGGATGATGTCATCCAAACTTTGAAAATACCGAACACATTCAAGGAGCATCAGCTTCAAGCTCAACAAACTTACATAGTGTGGTAAACCACAATGTAGGGCATAAAATAAGAGATGCTTTTTGCTACAGTTCAGAATCCAGCTGTATAAAATCACAGGAAAAATATGGGTACCTGTTTTCTTTGTCACGCCTCCGATTTCTTATTTCCGTCCAGGGGCCGGATTCAGGAAGGTACTTATGAAGGTTTTTCCTCTTAGCTAAGAGCGTTTTCCGTCTTAGCGCCTTCGTGGCGGCTACGTCCGTATTCAATTAACTACCCTAAGTGGAAAAACCTTCGTAAGTTCATTCCTGGATTTAAGTGTGGTTTCGACCACTCGTAGCTTTACGTAAACTGGATATAAGTAATTTTTTCTCTACTACATAACACTGGGATCGATTTATGATATTGGAACACGACCAAAATATTATAGCTGGTGAATCTAGTGAAGAGGAGTCCTTCGTGTTAGTTATATATGCATTCTCTGCTTGAAACTTGAAGTAAATATGTGTTTGATGATAGTAGAATTAGTTTTATAATATCAAGATATTATACCCGTAGTTATTAAGTAAATAAACACTGGTGAACATGAAATATGAGAGAAGGTGATGAGCCCTGCCTGATGGGATCATTTACTATCACCAAATGCCCCTGTTCACCTAGTAGTAAGGGTGTACCTTAGCTATACATACCCATTTCTAATTTATTTAGTTTGGTTTTATTTTGAAATTAAATCTGGGTGAGACATAAAATAAAAATATGCTGCACAAATGATGTTAGGTAAGGAAAAGGGTAAAAATGTCACAAACTTTATTCATTGAATACTTAAAGCTATAATTATGACTATATAGATTATTAAAAAAGAGAGAGGGAAATAGGGGTCCAAGACCTCTTCCTGTTATACAATTTGGGTGTGGAACAAGTAATTATCAAAAGAAGGCACCATGCCGGGAAGGCTATGTAGCAGTAAGGCAGTGAGGTGAGGCAGCTACTTATTTGAGAAATGCTTATTTTATTTACCTTATAAGCTGAGGCAACTTATTTTATTTGAGGAATACTCAGCTGATTCCTCTACATTTAGCATGGAACAAATTTGTGTCCAAGACCTCTTCCTGTTACTCAATTTGGCTGTGTGTAACCAAACTAGAAGTGCTCTACAAATCAAGGGACCCAGAATGTAGAATGACCTCCCGAATCATGTCAAAGGCTGTACCTCTCTCAACCAGTTTAAGAGTTAAACCAAGTACTGCCTAATTAACTCCATGTAACCTAACTGACCTTCTAAATGTCAACCCATGTCTTGCTATTTTTTAAACAACGCTGTTCACCAACATGTGCAATTGCTGATTTATGCTATGTTAACCCCCTTTTGTATTTTTTATTCCTTCTTTCAACACAATTAATTTATACCTAATCCCGATTACTATTAAGTTTTAGTCTGTGTTTTTTTCCCCCCACACCTTGCCCGAAATGCTATGAGTATTAGTGGCTTTAGGTATTGTATGTACTAGCTCTGCCTATAAATCCAACATTATGTTTGTAAATCAACTGTATGTACTTTTCCTGAATAAAATGTATTTATTATTTATTTTTTAATCAGTAAGTATTAAAAGAAGGCACCAAGCTGGGAAGGCTATGTAGCACCATTGTGTGTAACAATAAACCAAATTTTTGTTAACAAACAATGCACCTGTATGGGAAAACAAATCCTGTCAGCTGTAAAAATATTGATGCAGTTCTTTAAATGAAAAATATAATGAAAGAAATATTACTGGTTTATTTTTATCCTATCTTTTTGTACTGTACAGTATATCCAAGGAAGTGAAAAATTGAGACATAATGCACAATTTAATGAATGATTAGCATGGATTAGCAGTTCAAAAGAAATATGACTTGTATTACATATCAACATGACATCTTAATGATCCATGGTCAACATGATTTAATAAGGATAATACAGTACTGTATTTGTAATAATACAAACTATAATTTAAAATCTTTATTACTGATTTTTTTTATTAAGAAGATTAGGTATACACAGCAATGTGCTGCTACCCTATTCTATATGGAATATTACACAGTGTAGATAAAAAACTAGCTATAAGTTTATCTAATACTCCCATCTCACAGGATGGTTAGACATACTGTACATGGAATCAATTTAGAAAATACCAGCCTCAATACAAAAAACAAATCAACTCTGACTAAACAACTCTAAGCAATTTTCACAAGAGGTAAGCACTGAATCATGGAAACATTATATGATAATTACTCTTACCAGTTTCTACAAAACTCCTCTCAAACAATGTATTTTTAAACATGTTTAGGTATACACAGCAATGTGCTGCTTCCCTATTCTGTATAAAGGACCACACAGTGTAGATCAAAAACCAGCTACAAGCTCACCCAACATCCTCACCTCACAGGATGGCCAGTCATACATGGAATTAGGAGAGAACAAAATACTTAATGCTGATCTATTAGCCTCCACTGGCAAAATCTGGGTGCAGCACAAGAATATCTTCCAATATTCCTGAGTGTATGAAGTAATTACAGAGCTCAAAATAGTACCTCATACCATTTGGTATGAAGTCACTGATAACAGGACAATCACAGATATAGTGTTGGAGAGTATGTTCTCTCAAGTAGGACTGAAAACAGATGTTTTTTTCCACCAAGAGGGCTATAAACCCATGGAACCGCCAAAAATAAAGGGAACCAGGTCCCTTTATTTTTGGGGATTGACTCTGGGGATATCAAAGAGATATTTATTTCTGGTGTGGTGATAAAGGGTCCTATTACATGTGTCCAGGGAGAGTTTCAGAGCAGGGTTTGCATTTAAGAACAGGGTTTTGTAAATATAAGTGACACAAGAGAATGTGTGGAGTGAGTTTGTTTAACATGTTGAGGGATTTAAACAAGGGGGCTGAGTGTTGTCTGAAAGCAGAGTTTGTTATTATTCTGACAGCAGATTTTTGCTGAGTGATGATGGATTTGAGGTGGTTTGCAGTGGTTGAACCCCATGCACAGATACCATAATTAAGATAGATATAGATTAGTGCATAATATAGTGAGATGAGAGCAGAGTTAGGTATATAATATCTGATTTTGGAGAGTATACCAACTGTTTTAGAGACTTTCTTAGTTATGTGTTGTATGTGGGTGCTGAAGTTGAGTCTCTTGTCTAGGAATAGGCCAAGAAACTGACCCTTCTGTTGGGTAATCCTTATTGACAGGCTTCACCTGATTCCAAATTACTTTGGTCGTGAGAATCACTCCAATGCAAGAAATGGGTCCTCACCAAAATTTGTATGGCTGAAGGTTTGAAGGCGTTTGGGCTTGGTGCTGTATGTGCCGAGGGCACTTTAGTTGGGTGGCATTATATAATAAGGTTTTACACAAACACCGTCATAAAACCTAATGTTTATTTACAGAACTTACTTACTAATATATAGGTTGCTTACATTATTCTATGATTGATGTTAGAAAAGCTAATATCACATTAGAGAGACATCGGGATGCCTTAATTGACCGATCACATGGTTCACTTGTGGCCAATCCTGTATTAACACTTTCTTAGACAGTAAATGACAAACGGCTTTCCTAACACTGCTGGTTTCAAGGGAAATACAAGAGTTCCTTCTGAATACTTAGAGAGTCAATATAATGGCATGCACAATCACCACAGTAATGACCTGTCAAGCTGACAGTCAACATAACATATACATATATCTAAATGTGTTGTGTGCATAACACACATTCACTGACAGGAT